GATAGATAGATAGATAGATAGATAGATAGATAGATAGATAGATAGATAGATAGATAGATAGATACTGTTTTTTCAGATCCAACCAGCCTCTTCAATCTGTTGCAGAAATAGACCAACAGTTAGAACAGAGCTTCAGTTACAGGCTCTGTAAAGTTTACCCCACCTATAATAAACATTTTTTAAAAAAAATCTCCATAGCTTGGTTAGGGTTCGGTGAATTTGGGGGAAAGCAGTTTTTGCAACAGGAGAGCAGCGAAGAGGGAAATTTCTCAATGCGTTTTGTTGCTGGGATATTTTGATGGATGGGATTGTCCAAAGACCATTCATGATGAACAGGAGGAAGATTATGCTGGAATGAAGAGAACAATGTAGAAGGAATGCTTATCAGGCAGAAACAGGGCATTCTGGCAAGGGCGACTCTAGGCTGAGATAGTTGGCAAGCAAGCCAGCTAATGGCTGCAGAGGAACTGTTGATCAGCATAGCTTCAAGTCATAATTTTTCAACAATTCTCCGGAATGGAAACTCCCAGCACAGCCTAGGCTGGCAAATAAAATGTGCTTTCATTTTTACATTAATCAAGATAAAGAAGTCTCCAAATCATGTTCAACTCTTGGAGACTTCAAAGGCACAATCGTGCAATTTTCTTCCAGATTTCTCATGATGACTATGTTTCTCAGCCTGCGGTCCTGGGATTTCCTAATAAGTCTTTCAATCGAGTACCAATCCTGGTTACTTCTAAGTTCATTCAAGGTTGTCTAGATCCTGCTGCTTGATGAGACAATAATGTTTTATAATGGGTCTTTAAAATGAACACTAATAGATTTGCTTAATTGACACAAAGAGGGGGGGAAGAGAAATGGCTAATATTTCAGAAGAGAGGCTTAAGATTCAAAGGAATCTTGACAGACTTGAACATTTGGCCCTATTGAATAAAAGCTGGGGAGAAATGTAAGTTCTGCACTGCAGGAAGTTAAAACCCACCCTTCTGCTAGAAAAATGAAATATCCTGGGAAATATTAAGAAGGCAGAATATTATATTTCCCCGGATAAGAAATGGAGANTGTGTGTGTGTGTGTGTGTTATTTGTGCTGATAAATAATTAATACACACACACACACACACACACACACACACATACATACATACCATATTTTTCAGATAATAAGACACACCACTGTATAAGATGCACCAAGATTTTGAACAGGAAAGAAAAAAAAGTTTTTGCCTTCCCTCAGCCCCCAGAAGTTCTCTGTAGGCTTCAGCAGGGCTGGGGCAAGACAAAAATGCCCCCCCCCCCCGTTGTGAAAAACAGCCTGTTTTTCAGCAAAAATAGGATGCGAGGGTGGGGCTTCGGGAGGCCAAAAATGGCTGTATTTGGTGTATAAGTTGCACCAACATTTCCATGCACTTGGGGGCGGGGGAAGGTGCATCTTGTACTCCAAAAATACGGTGTGTACACACACACACACACACACACACACACACACACACACACACTATTGGGAAATAATTTATACAGGATTAAAAACTATCAAATCAAAAGCGAAAATTCAGAATAGAATAGAATAGACTAGAATAGAAGTCTTTATTGGCCAAGTGTGATTGGACACATAAGGAATTTGTCTTTGATGCATATACTCTCAATGTACATAAGGAAAATAAAAATACATTCATCAAGAATAAAAAGATACAATACTTAGTGATAGTCAAGGTTACTAATAAGCTATCAAATAGTACTAGGAAACAAAAACAATATAAGTTGAAAGATACAAACAACATGGTTATAGTCATAAGTGGGGAGAGATAGATACTAGGAAGGAAGAGAAGAAGAATATATTCTTGGTAAATTATTTGACAGTGTTGTGTGAATTAGTTGTTAAGCAGAGTGGATGGCATGTGGGGAAAACTGTCCATGTGTCGAGTTGTTCAGGAGTGCAGTGCTCTATAGCGTCATTTTGAGGGTAGAAGTTGAAACAATTTATGTTCAGGATGTGAGGGGTCTGTAGATATTTTCTCAGCCCTCTTTTTGACTCATGCAGTATACAGGTCCTCTGTAGCAGGCAGATTGGTAGAATTTTTCTTTTTAGAAAAAGAAGTACGAAAACAGAAAAGGAAAAGTAATAAGTTGTAAAAAAAATATCAAAGAAGAGAATGAAACAACCAGAAATATAAAATATCTAGGAAGCTATTTCCAACCTGCTTTGCAGCAGTTGCAAATGTACTGCGGAGTGCTTGGTGCTGTCTGAAATTGGTTGTTTTCTTCCACGTGTTTCATCATCCAACCTCATTGGTGTTAGTGAGTGTGGGGTTTGTTTGACTGACCTAAAATGAAGGAATGAAATGGGCTGAAGGAAACATCAAGGTTTAAAGAAATCCATGTGGCATTCCTGTTAAACAGTAGTCTCTTTTGGTGAACATGTGAGGAATACCATGTCTGTCATCTATGTGTCTGTCTATCTATCCATCCATCCATCCATCCACCATCCATCATCTCTTGCCAAGGCAGTTTCTATGTGGGCTAACTGTCTTGTAGTTATAATACCATTTAAAACATTAAAATATTAACACAATAAATATGAACATACATTTAAACATTCAGGCAAAGGAACTTTACTGACTTTCACGAATATCGTGAAAGTGAGTGCCCTAGAATACTTCTGAAGCCGTTGGCTGATTGTAAGTGTGAACAGGAGCTTCTGCGTTGCATTATTCATGACCCATGTCTTCCCAGGAATCTATCAAGTCAACCATTCCGTGATTTCAGTCATCCTTATTTCTTATTTAAACCTCGGCTGTGTTGTTACTTTCCCAGTTATGATTCAACTTACTGTTTAGAGAAACAATCTGATTGTACCTCTTTCTCTCTCCTCTTACAGGCTCGCCCATCACTTTATCTACCCTCAAGCAATTGTTCAGCCCAGTGTGGTCATCCCGACTCCTGTCCAGTCCATCACTTCTCCTTACATAGACTACACAACGGCGAGCCAGGCCTACTCGCAATTCACCGCTGCTGCCTACGACCAGTATCCCTATGCTCCTTCTCCTGCTGCTGGCTTTGTGGGATACGGGTACACGGGCGGCCTTCCTCAACCTACCACGGCTGCCGGTCTACCAATAGCAGCACCCACAACTTTTGTGCAGTATCCAGCGACACAGCTGCAACCAGACCGTATGCAATAGAAACCCGTCTTCGGAAAAACCTTTCTGGCTATGAAGGAATGCAAAGACGTGGAAGGGGGCCGAGAAAACAAAGGAGAAAAACAATAATTTAATTTTTTTTTTAAAAAAATCAAGTTTTTGTAAAAAAAAAAAAGTAAAAAAAGAAAAATTGATCCTATTAGGAAGGATGCATATCTATACCTAAGCTATTTATAGTGTTACAGACTTTTTAAAACATCATTGCAAAAAAAAAAAAAAGACTTCTTACGACGAACGTTGGAAAATCTCCTTTTCCATCTTTCCCTCTCTTCCTTTTTATCGAGACAGATATTATTGCAAAGATGGACTAAAATGACAAACACACCCACCCACCCACCCACTCCCTGTGCTTATAAGTGAAAACTGCAAACTGTTGAACACTTCCTGGCAGTTTCATTTCATCACCAGCCATTTTCTGCTTTATTACTTAAGTTGCTTATGCGCCATCCGACTCTTGCCACCTGTTATTTAGCCTTGTTGCAAAAGGTATTTGGAGAATACATAAATGAGGGGGGGGGAGGAGCAAATTTTGGGGGTCAAGGGGTGGGAGGATCCTTCCATTAAAAACTTTGTAATACTCAAATGCCTTACAAGAAAGACAAAAAAGAGAGCCTATTTTAATATTTATTGTGATCTCTCCTTATTCACAGGAGCTGTGAATTGCAGGTGAAAAATATAGTAATATCTGCCTTGTCTAATACTCACACCTAAATTAATTGTGTGTTGGGGAGTTCTAAATTGCTTTCGACATGCAAAAGTAATATTGGCTTTAAGGACGGTGCAATATTCAAGTCGATGCACTGTATTTTTTTCTTATTTGTAATTGTTACTCTTTTAAGTTTATCTCAAAGTTTTAGGTATATTTTTAAAAGCAAGAAAAGCGAGAAAAAAAAACTATTGAACACATTGTCTACTTTAATAGATCTTTTGTTTATGATGCTGCAGGTCTAGAGAAATTTTACAGTATTTATATAAAAGCTAAGCGGGGTCTTCGACCAGCACTGTTTAGGCGAATGTCAGGGATAAATCCGAGCTCTATTATGGTGTTACACACTTGAACAAGAGAGTTTTGACACCCAGTGGTACAAAGTGCTGAATAAGTAAAAGACAGTGTAAGAAGTGCATTTTTACAAAGAAGAGCAATAAACTATTTTGAATTTTAAGATTGTGTCGTGCTTTGGCTACCTTATGAGAAACTGGGAGATATCTATGGGTTGCTACCGCACTGGACTGTACAGTAGTAGCCAAAATTGTAGAAATCTTTTTTGGGGGAAGGGTATTTTTGAGGTTTGATGGCTAATAACACTACTTTTTTTGGAGAGTAGTACCATAAAATTATATATAAATGGAAAGATAATTTAATCAAGAAAGCAATGCAATAACTTTTATGAAGGAATTGCTATTAGAATAGCAGTCATAAAGAAGAAAAGTGAAACAGGTAGGAAAAACGAGATATATAAAATTTATCACCATAGAAAAAACGAGATATACAAAAATTATCACCATGTCAGTTAATACTTAGTTGGTAACCTTTATCATGAATTACAGCCTTACAACGTCTTCCCATTGAGTGAGCCAAGTCTTTTAGTTCTGCAACTATTATAATGTGAAACCAAGATTGAATGATTGCTTCTATTAACTGGGTTTTATTACTGGATCGCTTCTGATCTATAACTTTTCATAGAACACAGATAATTGAACAAAATTTGTTGCATCACATTCTTAATTAAATTATCTTTCCATTGATATATACTTTTATGGTACTACTGCAAAAAAAGTGATGTTATTAGCCATCAAACTTCAAAATACACTTTTCCTCCCAAAAGGTTGGCCACTACTATGTATCTGATCCTGTATATCCTATATATCTTGGATTAGAGGGTCCATGGAGATTCTCAATCATCCAGGTCATGGTGGTCTCAAAGGTGCTTTTCAAAAGGCAACTGGACTCAGAACTGAAGAAGCTTCTTGGATGACAAGCGAAATGTTTTCAAGAAAAAAAAACCCAAGAAAGTCCAGTTGCCTTTTGAAAAACAACTTTAGGATTTGAATTAGAGTGCTCTGGTTTGTGCGTTCCATATTATGTTAGGTGCTAAAGTAGAAAGCTTCACTGAAGGTCAGCCTTTGTGGATCCTGTTGGATGTAGCAATGACGCTATTCACATTTTTCCTCATTTTACATGGAGATGGAGGGGAGATGGTAAAAGAAGTTGCAGTAGACCTATCTAAAGCCTAATACACCTGCCCAGTTTATCCATAATAAAGACAGACCAACCAAGGAAAGTCAGAAAAGCACCTGCCTCCATTACAAAAATTCCCCCAAGAATTGAAAAAGATCCATTTTACCTGCCTAAGCAGGGAGTTGGACTAGAAGACCTCCAAGGTCCCTTCCAATTCTGTTATTCTATTCTATTATCTCATTTATATCCCAAATACATGATCACTGAAATGGTTGTTAAACCGGCAGAATCCCACCACTGAGGATGGGCTGAGAGAAAAAAGAAAGGAAAACAGCAACTTATCCAGAGAGTTTCCATGGATGAGAATCTACTTGCACTTCGGAGACTACAACTCGTCCAGAATGCAGCCGCCCGAGCGATTGTGGGTGCACCTCAGTACACCCACGTTACACCTATCCTCCGCGAGCTGCACTGGTTACCGATCGGTCTCCGGATACGCTTCAAAGTGCTAGTCGTAACTTATAAAGCCCTTCATGGTATTGGACCTGGGTACTTGAGAGACCGCCTGCTGCCAATTACCTCCCACAAACCCAATGGTTAAAAAATGAGTGGAGGTGGGAGTGAGAAAGTGACTTTCTGTTGGAAGAGCTTGTGAGCAGAGGGAGACATGCTGTGAGTTAATCTCACGTCCACGAGTGTCTTCCGAGGGGCAAGGTACATTTCAGATGGCGATTGTTCTTCTGACAGTGACCCCACAGGAATGCCAGGTTCTTGATATAATTTGATGCACAAGGAGAGTGACCCTATGATTTCTACACCAACGGCTATGGGCCAATGAAGGGGAGATGGCTCATCCCCATCCTTTTGGGTGCATCATACAGATCACCTTGCAGCTGGGCTTCTGCCATTTTGGTTCCCCATCTACCTTCCTTGTCAAAGACTATCGTAGCTTTTGTTTTTTCCCAAAGATCTGGCTCAACTGGAACAGCATGATAAGATGAAGGTCCAGCGGACAAACACAACCAGCATTTTGGACCCAGGGAAGGGTCAGACTGATTGATTAAGCTTTGACCCAATTCCAACCCTCTTAACATAGAGTATAGCATATAG